GGCTAAGGAAGGGATAGAAGCAAAGAGCCTTATGGCAGTACCTCTTGTACCCCCTCCCAACACTCCCACTCTTACTTGAGGCCCTCATTTTCCTTTATATATAGCTCAGGAAGGTCTTCTCCCCTTTCTCAGCCTTCAACACTATTTACCACAGGATTGGTCTTGGCCAAAGACCATAAATCCCTCTCCTTGATAGCAGAGCTTTAAAAATGCACCAAAGGATCTTTAAGCCCTCCAACAAGCTCACTGGGCATGCTGCCTGCAGAGAGTAGTCTTCCTGTTTAATGGTAGGCTATGGACACAAAATAAGTATAGGAATTTAGACAGAGTCATGGCAACATGGTGGCTGGGAATTCAGGCCCAGAGCCTTTCCAGTCTAGCTAGTAGTTCTCAGGCCCTGCACACCAGTAACGCCCGCTGCAGGGGAAGAGCGTGGATGGATACTTCCCTTGGAAAGCTCATCCAACACTCTGGAAGCCATTAAGTTCTTTCTGCACCTCTCTCTACCCAACTCCCACTCAAATACTGGCATTCTTCTCTCGAGATCATTTTCAGTGTAAAAGGCTTTTAAAATGGTGCAGGACAATTGGCTGGAAATTAGGTGATCACTGAGTTTTCGCTAACCACTGTCCCAGTCTGGGAACAAAGGATCAGGCCACAGAAAATTGCTATTAGGAAAACAAGAGGTCTTCCTCTAATCAACCCAGTATTGAGTGGCTGTGGTATTTCATGCCTGTAGTCCTGTCACTCAGTCTTGTTCAGTTTCCTTCTGGTGATGAAAAAAAACGCAGTATCGCGTCAGCCTTTTCCCCCTCATTATGTCAGGAGAAGAAACTTCCAGAGAACCAAATGAAAAGCAAGACAAAGTGGCTTCTAAACAACTCCATGTTTATTTTACATAGTTTACCATACACGTCTCATGCCAACACACAGAAGGCATATACAAACAAACTCACCAGCCTCTGTTTTCCAAAGTCACATGGCAATAAATAAGGATGAGTGGGGCTTTTTTTTTCCTTTTTTATTTCTTTTTCCAGGAAACGAGACTTTTTTTTCCCACTGTACAAAATTTACACTGCAAAGGGTGAGGGCAGCAACCCAGTGCTTAGGGGGTCCGGGGCTTGGCGGTCTGGAGGCAGGCTCAGGGGCACTGGGGACCTGCAGCCCTGGGCCTGCTTGTCTGGCTGAGCCAGCCCTCAAGTGGGAAAGTACGACATGATGCCTGCCTCTCGGTGGGCAGCAGATGAGAGTGGGGGTGTCCCTTTGTCCACCTGTGCTCTGCCTCCCTAAGCAAAGGGCTGCCTGGTGCAGCTCCCAGGCCTGCAGCTGCCTCCTCCCCACAGCGAGCAGCATGAAACTGTGCTTTCAGTGTGGTCCTACCGAGCCGAGTGTGGAGGGGGTGACTGCTGGGCTCTCTCTTTGGCTCCAGTCACCGGGTTAGAGCAGTTGGAGCAACTATTGCAAAGATGGGGGCCGACTGGCCAATCCACGAAAGAGAGAGCCAGTGATGTGCTTTTTATTTCGCTTTCAGCATGCCCAGAGCCCTTCAGCAGCAGGCAATAAAACAAAACTCATTTCCGCTTAATTGAATTGTTCTTCATCTCACGGTTTCCAATTTTTAAAGTGCAATGTTTAAAAATGAGCCTCCCTGGTCCTTTGCAGACCCTGCTGTCTGAGGAGGCATGCTCATTCCTTCCATGGCCACAGCAAAGCTGTCACTCGGGGCCTGTGGGAATGGGGTGTGAAGCGTAGGTGCCAGAGAGTGCACCTCGAACCACCTCCTGTCAGGGGGCAGTTATTTCCAAATAAAGACCTTACACTTCAGAGATGGTAATGTCTTTTGTTCTACAGACTCCTTAAACTTCCTTACAAAGTGTACTTAAAAATTAAGCTCTAGTGACCCCCAATTATCTGACTCCAAAAATCCAAAACCCACTGTCATCAAGTCGATTCTGGCTCTTAGTGATCCTATAGGACCTTAGAACTGCCCTGTTGGGTCACTGAGACTGTAAATCTTTACGGAAGCTGAATTCCACAGAGTGCCTAGTGAGCTCGAACTGCCGACCTTTCCGTGCAAGTCAAGTTTTAACCGTTGGCTTAATTATCTGTCTGACTTCTTTTCTTACACCCACGGGTGGGAGGACTTTTTAAGGATGACACTACCAAAAGCTTTGCTTTTGTCCTCGTCTTGCTCTTTGCCTGATGTTTCACTGTATCAGTTTGTAGGAACAGTGTTTTCACAGTTTTTAATTTTGCACAATAGATTCAGAACTCCCTGATAAGGCAAGAGAGAGGAAGCACAGAGACTGACACAAACAAGGTTGCCAGCAAATCCTCGAGGGGCCAAGACCCAAGCTTCCAATAATGTGGTTCACCCCATCGAGCCCACCGAGCCCTTAAATTCAGTATTTTCTCCATGATTCATTTTTAGCAAATTCAGATTCTTCCACAGCCCCAGTTCCCAGTGCTGCTTATACCAGCTATCACTGGAAACTTGGGGGCGGGGGTTGATTCATTCCTGGATTCAGAAACCTCCCACTCTAAAGTCTGTCTAACAAGCCCTGCAGAAAATGGTTGCTAGTTAATTGCTCTCTTGGATGCAACGACAGGTCCAAGTAGTGTAAATGCTTCCAGAAGGTCTCCTTTTCTTTTTAAAATTCCTCCATGTCCTGCTAGCAGCAGGAGAAACAGCCACCTTGTAGCACCTTCTGCCTCAGTAATGGATTACTGAGCAATAGAGGAGGGCCTTGAAGAGACCTGAAAAGTAATTCCACCTCCATCTCCAAATCACAGAGCCAAGGAGCCATCTGGGCCCGCGGTGGTCGTTAGTGGCACCGGCCCAGCCAGGTGCTAACCCTCTTTCAGGGAGCTACACTGAAAGTCTGGGACTTACTGTAGCTGTGCTTCTACATAGGGAACCAAGATCTGCTTGACTGCTCTTGGGGAGGTGGCTCCCGAAAAGGTAAACCTCCCTTGGCTTTCTCACCACACCTTTCCCAGCCAGCCTAACCCACCTAAACCGAAGAAGCTGCCACCAGCATCACCTCCACTGAGGAAAGGCCACCCATTCTTCCACCATTGAAGTGGGAGTCGTGATTGGCTCTCATACCAAAAAAACTTAAGACGCTGTGTTAGCTGATCCTAAAAAGCAGGGCTACAGAGAGGAGATGACCCCATTCAAGAGCCCACTCTGTCCATATCATACTCACCCAAAAATATAATATGCCTCTGGAGTCCCGTGAGAAACAGCCAGATAATGAGGCTGGGTGGGCCAGCTTGCAGCTGGTTCACTGCCCAGCACAGCTTTTCCGCCATGCATTGTGAACAGCCCGCTGAGAATGGTGTATTTAAGATGTCCTCAAAAAAGAATAGTGCGATTTCCTTTCCTCCACATGGCTTATCTGGTATTTGGGTCTCCATAACCACCCTAAGTGTTCACATTATTGGGGAGTTCCTTACAGCACTGAATTCGATAGGCTCAATGCCCCATCATCTATAATCCATCATCTATAATCATGGAACCTCAGGCAAAGAGTCCTCAAGCAAAAATTACTACAATCTCAGCGCACCAGAAATCAAGGAAAACTGCCTGAATAAAGGTGGTGTGGAGGTTGATCCCAAGACTGCATGGACTGCTGATCTTAGAGAAACTTAGTTTAGTCCTGGAAAGAGGTTTACCAAGGGTGCAGCAGCCAGAAGGGGGCCATTATTTCTTCAAGGCTGCCTATCACCTGCTTCAGTCTTTACAGCTCTCTAAAGGTGATGAACCATTCACAAATGTAGGGTCCTTGGGCTCTTTGTCCCCATAATTTCCAGTGAAAAGGGGAGCCAAAGCCTTCTCCTCCTGTCACACTCTGCCAATATCGTTTATGAGACTAACAGGTTGGAAAGAAGTAAAACACCATTTCCTAAGGGGACGAGGCTACCTTCGACCTGGCTGGATTCCAGCATGCTCGTGGGACCCTTCCTGACCAAGACATGTGGGCTGTGGACATAGCTGTGGCCCCATTCTCAGTGGCGTTTCCTATACAGGTGCGCTCCGTCGCAGGGTGTCAGAAGGCAGGGGTTGGCCCTCCCCTTGCCTCTGATTTTGCCATGCTAGTAATGTGCTATTATCGCAGACCTTATGTTGAGGGTCTGCACTCCCAGTGGCTGGAGGCCTCTGCCTTTCTGTGCGCAGGACCGGAGCCCAGGGCATGACAGTCCAGCCAGACGCCTCGAGCGATACCCAAGGACCACTTGAAGTCTTTCAACAACCTCAGGGATGTTCCCTAAATTATTCCTCCCAACCAAGATGGACCCCTAAACACCTTCTGTTACATAGAGGCCAAGACCGCCCTTCAGGCCAGCTAGCTGAAGGTAGCTAGCTCAGCAGAGAAAGCTTTTGTTCAAGAGGAGGTGGAGGCCTCGCTGTGAGTTGAGGGTGGCCTGGCAAGTTCCTCTAAGTCAGCTCCCTCAAAACACAGGCCGTTTTGAAATATCATTTCATACTAGAAGGACAGGGGACTCTGGGAGGCTGACCCCTGCCAATATAGCTAACCAGACCATGAATGTGGAATGCAGACGGGTCTACAAACATCTTCACTGATTGTCATTCTCTTCTCTCCAGAGTTTAGCTTTAATCGTTCTGTAACCCACAGCCTTTCTGGTGGAATAAATGATATGAGCAAATAAAAAAGGCACGTTGTGCACAGAAGGGACAAGCCAGGCTGTCGTGGTGATGGTGGGTCCAGGGCCCCTGAGCCCAGCCTTGGGGTCATCTGCAATGAAAACCGCTTCTTGCCATCAGGATTCAGTGGCATACACAGGATTTCTTAAACACCAAAACTGACAGTGTTCTCTGGCTTGTACTCCAGCATCCAGATGAAGTCGTATTTTCATAGCAAAAGATAACAGGGGGAGGAAGGTATGTTTTAATATCAAATAGTGGCCATCCGAGTTTCTACTGAACTTTAATAACTGATTTTTTTTTTCATCTTGAAAATGAGACTCCAGTAAGGTGGTCTGGAAACCACTTGCATTGTACCCATGGGACATCACCCCACCTCAGGGATCTCTGTTCTGGCGGCAGCAATGGTTCAGGAGGCATCGCGTGAAATGCACCAGTCAGAGCAGATTCCTAGAGGTTCACATGGCCTGGCCTCGTCCCCTCGTGCCAAAGCACAGAGCAGCCAAAGCCTCTAAGCGGTACAGCGGGGAGAGAGCCGGGGGCGACCCACCCCTGTGCTGTGTTCTCAGAGGAGGCTGTGACCCCATCGCTGCCCCAAGAAAACAGTGCCCCGGAAGGGTCTCAGGACCGTCTGGGAATCAGGAGAGGGCTTCCATTGAAAATAATGGAAATTCACACTGGTGCACTTTTGATCCTTAAAAGTCAAGTCTCTCTTGATCCTTGCAGATATTCTCTCAAGCCAGGAGGACGGGGAGGGTGAGGAGGACAGGTGTTTAAAAAGGAGGATGATCCATTTCATCAAGCCAAGAGGCGGGGCTGGTTGGAAAGTCGGGGTAACCTACACTGCTTCCTGTAGAGATGTCAGAGGTGGGTCCCCCGGCCATGGCTCTCAGCGTCTGGCTCACTCCCTGCCCCGCATGCGCAATGATGCCCAAGTTACTGTCCACCGTGTAATCCAGCCCATTGAGTAAAGGAGTGTGGGATGGCAGGGATGATATGGAGGATGGGGACTGGGGGATCCCATAGGGGCTCCCATCCCTCAAGTCCTGATAGGATTGTCCTGTCCCATCCATGGAGAAGCTCCCATTCATTAACTGTCCGCCTGTAACGTCCCCCACGTTGCCATAAATCCTATTGGTGTGGCCAAGTTCTGAGAGAATCTGATCCTCTGTGGATAAAAGAATGGAGATTTATTGTCAGCCGCCAGGACTTCAGCGCCTCTGCTCTTCACAACCTAGGAACGCACATCACCAAGGGATCAGTCCCCAGTACATAGCTGCCTCACTGCCAAGCCTGGCTCAGATACCCGCACAGTGGTCCAACAGCAGAGGCCCACTGAGGCAGAAGAAACACTTGCTAAGACTAAAATCCCAGGTCCCTGGAGGCTGGACAAGCGTATGGTGAGCTGGTTGGCCCTGTCTAGTGGGAGTCAGTCCTTCAGAGCCTCGGGCTACGCTGAGGGGTGGCTAAGGCTTTGTGGGTCACCACATCACAGTTAGACACAGTGTTGTTAGGCACTGTTGAGTTGGAACAGACTCAGAGCTGCACCTCCTACAGGTTTTCAGAGGTAGTAAAATCACAGCAGAGGATACTGCCCGTCTCTCTCTCTCTCTCTCTCTCCCTGGAAGCAGCTGGTGAATTCAAATCATGCACTTTTAGGTTGGCAACACGACTCCTTATCTCTAAGTCACCAGAGCTCCCTCCAAACTATGAACTGACATTTCTTGCGAAGCTAAAGCTCAGAAACGTCCTTGGTTTAGCTGGCTGTGTACAAGCCTCCACTTAGTAAGTGCAGCTGAGGCCCACTGTTAGGCCTGGTAACAAAACCTCTGGTCTCCTCAGAAGAGGTTTAGCACCGAGGGACTTGTTTCCTCTCTGTCTCAAACTCTTCACTGGGGACAAAATTCTGATTTGATGATGGCAAAAGGATCTTCTTGTTGAAGAATTTTTATTAAGGGGACTGTTTTGACCTGCCATATTAGGTTCCCATCAGTCAAAGCTGACTCAACAGCACCTAACAACAAAAAGTTGGAGTCTGCCACTTGAGAGAATTCATTTCTCCAACAGCGTGAGCCATCCTGTCGTGTGCCATCAGTCAGTCTAGACCCATAGTGCTCCTGTCTGGCAGAGCTAAACTGCCTCCACTCTGATGGTTGTGATATTTACAGGGGTAGATCGCCAGGTCTTTCTCTCCTAGTGTCCCTAGTGGGTTCTCCCCCATAGCCTTTCCGTTAGAAGTTGGGAGCTTAACCAATGTGCCCCCAGAGTTGTTTTTGTCCTCACAAGTCAGGTATTCTGTAACTCCCCACAGAAATGAACCAGGAAACAAGACCTGCTGATCTTGTGTGTGGGATTTAGCAGCTCAGAGTAGATTACTAAGTGGTCTGCCCACCTCTGCCAGGAGACCCAAGAGGTGGCGTAAGGCTGTGCCCCCTCCACAGCTTCCCTCTGAACAGACCTCTCAGCAGAGCTACCAACCTCTCAGACCACTCTTCCTGGCAGGCAGCAACTTCCCACTCTACCCACCTCCAAGCCCGCTCACTCCACGTACTGGTTCCCAAACTAGAAGCCAGCACCTCATCCCTTCTGGCCACGTGCCCCCAGGCCTGGCTCCAGCCTCCTACAGAAATTAAAACAAGAAGTGGGAGGGCCTCATGCCCTAAAAAGAAGGAGTTGGAGGCTCAGCTCCCCATCAAAAAGTCAGTGTTGGCCTTTTGCCTGTACCATCCTCTCAGACCAGACCTGCTGTGGGAATCACAGGCTCCATGGGGGATAGCCATGGCTTTCCTATGGAAAAAATGTGCCTGACTTTTCCCCAAGCACAAACATAATTGGTTGTGTTCATTGACTGTGAGATGACCAGGAAAGCAGTCATTCCCCATTTACAGAAAAGGAACGACAACAGCCAAAGAAACACCCACATTTCAAATCCATCACGTGGATTCTGACTCATGACGACCTTCCGTGAGGTTTCTGAGACTATAAACCCTTCTAGGAGAAGAATGCCTGTCTTTCTTCTGTAGAGCAGCTGGTGGGTTTGAACTTCCAGCAGTTGGGTGAACAACACAATACATAACCCACTAACCACCAGGGCTACTCAGGTGAGGAAACTGCAGCTCAAAAGTAATGTCTGACAGAAACCCAGCCAGAAATCAGGTTTCTGACCCTGAGCTTAACTACTCTTTCCCCCAAAAAAGAAGCCATTCCACATTCAAGGCTTCAGCCTTCCCCACTGTGGCTACTTGCCAACAACAGGAGGTCCCACAGCATGCAGTGATTTGAAATTTCGCTGATGCACAGGTTTGAATGTAGCACATGCTGTAAAGCTTGTAATCAGCCTGCAGTGAGCGGTGAGAGAAGGGGTTCAGGCCCGCCTGGCACGTGGGCTCACAGGAAGAGGGCCTATGGAGCATGTCCTCCCCAGGAGCCAGAAGAAGGGGCGATGCTGGGGACTGTGGGTGGTATAGGCCAGTCACCCTGCACAGGAAACAAATGCAGGGGATGGGAGGGGCCGTAGAGTGAGACACAGCCATCTGTCCACAGCTGCACAGGAGGGAAGGGACAGGCTGTGAGAGAGCACCCAGTCAGCAGGAGAGGAGGGGAGGCCTTGGGGCACACAGCGCAGGGCCTGACCCACGCTTCCTCCTTCTCTATTGCTTAGCCCATCTTAAGACCATTGGTCCCCCCATCCTCCTTATCTACAAGTCATGGGGAAAGCCTATGGTGGACAGGAACTTGTCCAGGCCTCACAGGATCCCTCCTGGGCGCCCAGGGTCACTGTTTGCCAGGAGGCTGTCCTAAGGCCTCCGCCTCGCCCCTCCAGCCCTGCTCACCTCGGAAGCTCAGCTCACTGTCACTAACCCCACAGTCCTCCGCTGAGCTCTCCTTCTCCTGCTTGCTGCCACCACGGCTCCTCTTGACGCTTTTGTAGAACTGCCCCCAGCGATGCCGCCCAGCGTCCTTCTTCAGCCGCTTCTCCTTGGCCCTTCTGTTTTGAAACCACACCTGCCACAAAAGCGAAGGGACACACTCAGGCCTGCCTGCAGAGGGCCCGGAGCTCCCAGGCCCCCAAGGACGAAGCCTCAGTGGAGAGCAGGACACTCTCGGGGCAGCCTGCAGAGGGCCCGGAGCTCCCAGGTCCCCAAGGACAAAGCCTCAGTGGAAAGCAGGACACTGTGTGCTAGGGCTGCTGCTCCAGGGTGGGCCACAGGCCCCTGATGGAAGGGGAGTCCTGAGCGGGGCCAGCAGGGTCTCACCTGCAGGGTCTCACCTGCACCACCCTCATGTCCAGCCCAGTTTCTGAGGAGAGCTGCTCCCTCACGTGCCGGGCTGGCTTTGGGGAGTTCTTGTACGCGTTCTTCAACGTCTCCAGCTGCTTGGCTGTGATGGTGGTGCGAGGCCGCTTAGCTCCAGCCTCTGAGTCATCTGCAATGAAAACCATTTCGCCCTGCTTCAGTCTCTCCATCCCTCATACTCTTCCATTCCTCAGGCATCGCGCCTGCTTTGTTCAAGACGATGGCAAGACTGAGACACAGTCATGGTGCTAACTCCGGTACCATAGGGCCTCCGCGCCCCTCTTCACCCAGTCCCTGAGCTCCCCCTTCCCTCCGGAGAGCAAGCCTCAAGCTGAATGTCTTCAGCTCAGTACTTGTGCCCCTGCCTCTTGCTCTGAACGACTTACCATCCTGGCAGAACTCAGGCCTTGAAGCAGTGGGAGGCAGAGGGGTGCTCCTGCCCCATCCACCCACAGCCTCTGTCACAGCTCCGCTGAGCCACAGGCAGGGGCAGTCAATGCATTCACAGCTAAGCAAGGTCTGTAAACAGTGCATTAGAATACATGGGGGGTAGGTTCTAAGTCAATTTGGCGGATCAGAGCTAATAAGATGGATTTGTGTAGGTAGAATTTGAGTAGAAAAGGGGCAGAGTAAGTATTATTTGTTAAAACATTTTGTCTTCCTGTATGAATATGTGTATTGTCAAAATATAGAGTGAATTTCTTACTGTGAACCAATTTAAAAAAAAAATTTAGAACACTGATGAAAAGAGCGTTCAGGACAACACACAGATGGAGCAGCAGAGCCTGTTCCCGGGAGATAGAGGCTGTCTGTTCTGAGTCAGAAATGACCGACAGAGAGCAGAGTCATCCCTGGGCCCTCAGGGCCTCTCTGCTGGTACCTTTTTCCTGTTCTCTGTGCTCCTGACATCCCGACTTGGCTCCTCTCTCTTCAGCCAGGAAAATCCTCTCTTAGAACATGGTTGTTTGAGCAAACAATCACTAAGCCTAAGCATTTACTTTGGGCCAGGTGTTGATCTAAGAGCTTTGCATGCATTCAGTCCTACTGACAGCTCAGAAGACCTGGCTCAAGGCTGGCGCTGCCACAAGCCTGCTGAGTGGAGGGACTTGGACAAGTGGCTTTGCCCTCTGAAAGCTGAGGATGATGCCAGGCACCTTGCACGTGACAGCGTGTTTTGGACAGAGACTAAGAGGAGGGCCAGCCCCCACCAGTCAGGCGCACAGCAGGGCAGGACCCGCCACCTCTCTCCTCCTTGACTTGTTTCCTCCTCTAGGAGCCAGTGTCACCTATGCACTCAATCCCAGCCTCAACCCAGTATCGCCCAGCTTTCTCCCTGGAGTTCCAAACCAAAGAAGGGGTCTGCAGCCCCTCAGGGGGGTTCCCAGGGCTGCAAATCTTTATGGAAGCAGACTGCCCTGCCACATCTTTCTTCCACAGAGCAGGTGGTGGGTTTGAACCACCAACTCTTTGGCTAGCAGCCATGCACTTCAACGACTGCTCCACTAGGGCTTCTTAAAAGATTGGGGAGGGAGGAATCAAACCAAACTCCCTGACTCTCAGAGACTCGAAACAGGCAGAGGAGAACTGCTCCACCCAGTTTCCTAAGCCACTGTCTTTACGGAAGCTGGGGCAATCTCCAATTGAGATACTTGTAGGTTTGAAGCTTTTCAGTTTGCAGCAAAGCACTTTAACCACTGTGCCACCAGGGCATGGGAACCCTTTGAAAAAGTCTACTTTAAATCCAGTGATAAGGATGGCTAGAGATTGACAGCATTGTTTCAAGTAAATTTGAAATAATGCAAACACAAGATAATGCAACTATAAAAAAGACATTTAGCATCTTAGTGTTTTCATAAAATTGGAAATAGAAAAACCATCAAAATATCTTAACTCATCAAGATCCCTTGAGCAGGTCAGCCTAGTGAGTTGGGCAGTGTTTTCCTGGCTCCCCTGGGTGTACACCTCCCGTCCCACATGGTGTTCTTGGTGTTGGCTGGTTCTGCACTGCTGTTTACATGTGCTGGGCTTTCTTCTTGCGATTATGGGGAACCATTATACTGTTATTTTAACATTCGCTGTTATTATCATTTAAAATCTTTTTTATATCCCATAACAATGTCATCCAAGTATTCATTAAGTACGGTGGCAGGGCTCGTGCTGAAAAATGTACCCAAAAATCAATAACTTTGGTACGGAAGTTAAATGTGATAAAACGCTATGAAGAAGGCCAAGCAAGACCATGATACACCGGGCTGTTAATTTAGGAGAGAGCATTCTGCGATGTATTAGAGATAATGCTGAGAAAATAAAAAGTAGCATTAAGGCAAAGATACACTTCACCGGTTATGGATTTATGTGCTCCCAGAATCCACCCCCCCCCCACCTTTTACTTTAATTCCTGTGGGAAAATTAGTCTTCGGATGAAAGTTTTGAATTATGCAGGGTCTCCTAGAACCAATCCCTGGCATAAAATGCCACCTCATTATACTGAAAATGCAAATTACCCAGGGAGATGTAACAAATTAACAAAAACATTCACACAAGAAGGTGCAAATCACCGCTCATCCATTGTTAGCTCTGGGAAGGGTATTGCCAGTATCTCCTGGTGTGTTCAGACTTGAAGCAACCCCCCATGTCGTAGCCAAGCTGTGCTCCATAGGTTTTTTTCAGAGGTCAGTCACCAGGCCTTTTCTCCAGGTTACCTCTGGATGGACTTAAACTGCCAGCCTTTTCTTTCTTTTAATTTTTTTTTTAAGATTTTATTTATTTATTTTCTTCTTGTGTGCCGTTGAATCAGATCCAACTGGCACAGGAGGAAGTTGCCCCGCCTTCTCCAGCGGAACATCTGGTGGATTCGAACTACTTGCCTTTGGGATTGTAGTACAGTTTCTTGCCACTAGGCCATCAGAGCTCCCCAGCCTTTTCATTATCATACAGTTAACTGGTCATACCACCCATGGACTCCCAAGGAGCCATAAAAATCACTTTCAAAGAGAGCACACACACAACACTAGTGGACATGGAACTCTCTGGCTCTGACCACGAAAGCCCAGCCCAGTCTTGGGAGGGAGGCTGCACATCCCTATTAACCCCCACGGAGGGCATCAGAGCTTCTCTACCTCTGAGTCCATCTGTTTTGATGGTTTATCCCCTGACAAGGCACCCTAATCTTCCATGACATAATTGTCTCAAAAGCAACACAGAGGGACTTTTAAGAAACCAGAACGGATTAATACCATTAAAGACTCTTGAGAGGTTAGCCATGGGAGGTCCTGGGTCCCTGGAGAAGTGGACCAAAGCCTTTTTAAGCCTCTAGTCTAAAGGTGAGACCTATGAGTTTGGTGAGAGGAGGGAGCCTCAAAGACTGGAAGCCCCTAATGGATAACCCTTCTTCCTGCCAAAGTCTAGCTCAGGCCTATGTGTCAGAGTAGACGTAAGAGCAATAAGAAATAAGGGGAGAGGATGGATGGATAGATAGATAGATAGACAGACAGACAGACAGATAGATAAACAGGCTGGCAGGCAGACAGGCTCATGTGTACAGTCTCTGGCAGCACAGCACATTATGTGCTGCACTGTTACCCAAAAGGTCAGCAGTTCAAATCCATCAGCCCTTATGAGGAAAAAAGTCCGTTTCCTCCCATTAATATTTACAGCCTTAGAAACCTGGTGCAGGCCACTGAGACTAAACTTACTCGATGGCCATGGATCTGGTTTTGGTCAGGGGCCCCAGAGACGATCTAAATGAAGTTGGTGCCCCTTTAATTAGAAAAAAAACCAAAACACACCCACCAGGCCAGACTTCCGGGAAGAGTACTTTCCACTCAGTATTGACAAAATGCTAATCAAATGCAAACCAAAACCACAAAGCTATTGGTGTAGAGTCAGATTCCAACTCCGATTGATGATTGACGCTACAGGAGAGAGAACTGCTCCTCAGGGCTCCCAAGGCTGTGACCTTTACAAAATCCTGACTGCCACATCTTCGTCCCCACTGAGCGGTGGGTGAATTTGAACTGTCAACCTTTCAGTTAGCAGTCAAGCGCCTTAACCACAGTGTCATCAAACTAAAAAAGCTCATTGCCAGCGAGACTTCCCTTCAGCGGGTTTGCAGAGGCCGTAAGGGCTCAAGTGTGCTCAGAAATGAAGATGGCGCAGGACGGGCCAGGGTTCAGATCTGTTGTTCGTGCGGTCATTGGGAGTTGTATCTGCCTGACCACACCTAGCAACAAGAAGTCTCAAAGGACGAGTTTGCTCATTTTCCTGAGTGGCACTGCGCTGAGCGGGTGGTGGATTTAAACTGCCTCTGGGTTGGCAGTGCAGTTCCTCACCCAGCAGGCCCCCCAAGCTCCCACTGTGTCCCCAGCACTCCTTAATCAAAAGCCACGGGCACTGGTATTTCCTAGGGTCACAAGACTAAGATTCTTGAGTTGAATTTGGCCAAATCTCAAATTCAGAGAGAGCGTGAGGGGTATAGCTGCCCCAGCCCACAGGCCTCGGATTCTTCAGTTGTGGGTGAGAAGCAGGAGGTGGGAACAAGGGCCGGCTGGGTTTTGTTGGGGGGAGTGTGGAGGACAGTACTACCTGCCCAGGCCCTGAAGACCCAGCAACAAATAACTGCCCTCATTAAAGAGGGTACCCCTACCCTCCCCCCCAGTGACTACCCAGGCTGCCCTCTTCAAAGCCAGTTCTCCCCACCCGACTCGTTCAGCCCCCGCCTGGGTTGTGTCTCTTGCAAACCAAGCCAGCCCTGTGGTGACACTCGGCAGTGGGCAGTGGGTGATGGAGTTATATTTTTGGAGTCTTCCTGAATGTGAACAAATTGTCTTCCCAAGACTGAGCACCTATGCCTGCACTATAGGCTTCGAGAGGCATGAGCCATCATCACCAGGTCCCTGCTCCCCAAGAACTCACACACTGATCAGAAACAAAACACAGTGAGCTGCAACCCAGGATTCATTCCAAGGTTAGTTAGGCCCGCGCTGGAACTCTGCTGACTGCGGGGTGCTGAGGTCAATGTGCATCTAAGAACCGAGGGGCGTTCCAAGTGTCCACTGCAGGCAGAGCGCTCCCAGGTGGACCCTCTGCCTCCTGACCTCACCCCAGGCGAAGTGTCCACCAGGGTGGGACAAGGTGCCTGCTGCTCCTGAGGCTGCTCTCTGATGTGGGAGCCAGGCATGTGCTAACCATAATAATTGGATCAATGCTTCAGAAAAGCCAGCCAGTGCTGAAGACCAGGGAGGTTCAGAAGTAATTCTCCCTGCAGGAATCTGAGACAGTTTCTCAGAGGAGGCTGTGTCTGAGCGGGCCTGGGAAGGACAGTAAAGTGGTTTTCAGAAAATTATCATAGTGTGCTGTAGACTCGGGAAACCACACATTCAGGCATCACAGACCCAGGGCAGCAGACAACCAGGGCACTGCACCTCTGGGCAACATACATGCGGGGCATTGCAGACCAAAGGCAACACTCATGCAGGGCTCTGCACCTCTGGGCAACATACACCTGGGGGCACGGCAGACCCAGGGCAATACACATTCAGGGCATCACAGACCAATGGCAACATACATCTGGGACACTGCACATCCGGGGCAGCACACATCCGGGGCAGCACACATCCGGGGCAGCACACATCCGGGGCAGCACACATCCGGGGCACTGCACATCGGGGCATCACAAACCCAGAGCACAGCAGAGCCAGTGTGGAGAATGGCCATGCCGGTCGGCACTAGTTACCATTCTGCTTGGCCGTCTCGTAGTCCTCCTTGCACACCAGCCTCCCATCCTCCATGAGGTAGAACTCGTCCCCCGTGGCCAGCTGCCGGTTACAGATGATGCAGGCGAAGCAGTGCAGGTGGTAGACAAAGTCCTGGGCTTTGCGGACCACCTGGGTCGGGGGGATGCCCTGCTGGCAGGCTGTGCATTTTGTGCCGAAGCGCCTGTTGGGACAGCAGAGGAGGATTAGGACCTGTGGGTGCGTAGCTTACCTGGCTGCCCCTACTTCCTCTCCCACCCACCACGCGGTACAGTCCATCAACCCCCAGTCTCCCAGAACCTCCCAGGTCCTCTCGACCTTCACCCAGCATCACTGCTTCATGTCTGGACAAAGCCTCTACCAGAGTTGGTCTTCCCAACACCCGAGTAACAGCCCATCAGTCAACCCCGGGCAGCAAGGACCTTCTTGTTGACCCTCAGCCTCCTGGTTTCCTTGCTTCAGGGAGAGTGAGGCCAAGAAGATCAACCTCACAGGATCCCTGTGTGGCCCACCTCTCACAGCCCCCCACTCAATACAAGCTTCTCATTCACATCGGAGCACCTAAGAAAACGCACTTTGCCATCATGCAGGTCTCCCCACTCCTCCATCTGGTCCACAGGGAACCCCTCTGTGCACAGCACTGTGGATATGTGGGCTGAGCTGGGCCCAGGAACCTGTATTTCCCAGCCCCGGTGATGTTCTGGTACAGGGCATGTTGCAGACCCCACCGGGGAAAATGCCCCTTCAGACCTATTCCTGAGTCATATTAAGAGAAGCCACCCACTTCCACCTCGTGCAGAGTTTGGAGTGGGAAAAGGAGCCACTGACATGTTTAAAAATACAGTCCGCCAGGGTCGCCGACGCCTTCTCTCCCCATTCTGGCCCCCGAGATCAGCCCCGCCATGCCAATGGCGGTAGAAGATTCCAGGGAGATTCCTGGGCCCAGGAGGAGGAGGAAAAAAAGGAAGAAGGTGCTTCTTGGCTGCAGGTGAGCCATCCTCGCTTAGGGAGAGCTCGGGAGGGGCTGCGAAAGCAGGGGCAGAGTTTAAAACAGCAATCAACCTAATTATTCATGACATTTCACACAGCAGAACTTTATCTTCTTCAGGATGAAAGACTTCGCCTAATGGATCTGGGGAAGGTTTGATTTTAATGGTCCTTTTAACTAATGCTTATAGGCAGCCTGATTTCCCCTGAAAGGACAGTACATATTTCATCCACATTAATACCAAATAAATTAATTATGGTCATGGCTATCATGATGAATCCCAGATTAATGCAGAATGATGGGTCTCTTATGCAGTAATGATACCTGCTGAGGGGGCGACTGGGGGCCCGGGGCAGTCACAGCCAGTTGTGGCTTCCAAAGCGACCCCTTGTCACATGTCACAGAGAAATGGGGGGCTGTCTTTAAGTCTAGGTGGGCAATCCCAAAAGAGGAGTGTGCTTGCAATGATGTCGTAATTTGCGTCTTACTCTGTTGTCAGTGACAGTTGCCTGCTGTCATTTCACTGGTACAGAAGGTTGACGAAAATTGTCACTGAGCAAGACATAAACCACCCAACTTTTGAATAGGAAAGTATTACTGTATCTAAATTACAATAAACTTGTTCTGGATGTGTTCATAGCTTAGCCTTGATTTTACTGGTATATGTTGTCATGTAACCTGAATATACTTCTGGTGAAATTATTGCTTGGCTTTTTTTCCCCCCCTCTCCCAAGGCGTGTGCTCGTCCACTGATCTCGGTGTACTCAGAAAAGGGAGAATCATCTGGCAAAAATGTTACTCTGCCAGCTGTGTTCAAGGCTCCCATTC